AAAGAACATGAGAATATTTGAACTCCTTGGCCCTTTGGATCAGACGTGCATAGACTCCTGCTGTTTTAAAAGGGTCAACCAAAGGCAATTAGGAAGAAAATGGGTTTTGCTTTGCTCAGTGATTTCAAAGCAGAAAGAGGAGAGAGGGAGAGAAAGAAAGAAAGAGAGGTGGCACCAATGGATTGTTCCGGAAATCAGCTGCAGAAGCAGGGAGTGTCTGACAAACAAACACTTTCCCAGCCAGTTTGTGGGCAGATAATGTGACATTTGCTCTAGACACAGAGCTGACAATATCCTTGCTTTGTTAAGGAGCTTACTGGGGGGGGGGATCCTCTTCCTTTGCCACAATGGAGACTTTGGGCAGCAGTTGCTGTCAGTCTGGGTTGCATTCCATTCTCCCTTGACATTTTGGAACTGGCAATATAAAACAGCAGCAGTCTATGGAGGCGGGGGGGGGGGATAGACATATTTGAGAAATTATCTCCAGAAAGCTATCTTTAAAGCCAACAGAAGCTCAGCTGTTGTTTCTAAAGATGTCCTATACAGCCCTCCCTTTGGTAGCCATTACCTTTTTAAAGGTCACTGGGGAGGGCTTGCTGAATGATCCCTTTGTTCAGAACCGACCAGGAATGGAGAAGATGCTTTGCTGGGCAAGGGCTGGTTCTGCCATTGCTTTTCAACAACAAGCTTCTTAAGATTAGTTTGCATCCCTCCTAAGTTGAGATGGAGGCAAAAGCAGAGGAGGCTCATGCCTTTGTCTCTGACTTCAAAGCAAGGGCATGTAATAGAAATGTCCATGCAATACTTGAAGTGGTGACTATGAGAACATTTCTTTTTTTCTTTTTCTTTCTTTCTTCTTCTTCTTCTTTTTTTTTTTTTTTTGGTCAAAAAGATCGTTTTGTGCTTCGGTTTTGCAACATTTTAACCCAGTGATCTCAGGATGATGTATATCTAATCATCACCATTGTCCTCATCATGACAATTTAGGAATCGCTTTATGTACTCAAATAAAAAGAAATATTTCTTGACATAGTTAAATGTTAATGTGTAGCCTGTATATTTAAAAATTGTAATGTAGTGATGCCTGGCAACTTAGATGGATTTTAAAAGGACTGGAAAATTCATGGTGCTTCAGGTTGTCAGTGGCTACTGATCAGGATGGTTATATATTGCGTCTAGAACCAGGAACAATGTGAGTCCATACACACAAGATGCTGGAGAACGTGTGAATCAAAGCATGTTTTTGATCAAAAAAATGTCTCTGTCACCCAAGTGATAATGTTTTAATTAGTATTTAAGTTGATCTAACAGGATGTAGAATTACAACTTTCTCCTGAACAAGTGGTGTATAAGAACTCGAAGCCTTCTCTTAAAAGTGCAAACTTGAAAATGCAAAGGAAATCTTCTAGTTTCACCTTTTAATACAGGACTGTTCATTCCTCAAACTATACAAACCCATCCAGGCCACTGTTTTAACTTTTTTTTTTAACAACACCTCAGAAATAAAGAATGGCAATGGCAAAGTTCTCTCCAAACACAATGTGGTGAATGGTAACTGTTCCAGACTAGGAGCAGGAGACACAATTCAAGTGTTTACACATTTACTTAATGTACTCCTTATCTTTAGGCTAGTGGTCTCAATCTTCCGTGGTCGCCCACCTTAGAGGGTCACTGTGAGGATAAAACAGGCTCTGTTCCCCCTCCCTGAATAGGAGAGGGATACTTGTACAAATGACGTGGGCATTACAATTCTACCCAGACTGAGCAACAAGTGAGACTCAATGGACTCGTATGCCTCTCTTCTCAGTAGGCATGTATAAGACTTCACCATTAAATAAATAGAACAAATTTTCTATTAGCCCGGGACCATAGACATCAGAATACAGTACATCTGATCTCAGTGCTTTGGGATAAAACCTTGTGACCTTGGCTGCTCTTCTAGATTAGAACCTAACTAGAGCCACAAAAGGCTGAGGTTTTTGCACAACTGGCTCAGGACACCAGGATACTGGAATGTTTCCATATAGAATGTCTTACACACACACACACACACACACACACACACACACACACAGCTTGTACCACCTTATATCACCTGCATGCAGTAAAGAAAATTTTGAATGCACAGCTTTTGTCAGCTTAAATCTATAGTAACAGAAAAGCTACACTAGTTAAATATCTGCCACTGTCATGCAACCATTAAAAACAAAGGAGCCTTACCAGTTTTAAAAAAAGTGCTAAGTTGAATGTTTCACTCCACGCCTTGCACATTTTAACACTGATTATTTCTACCACTGCCATGAAAGGAAACACTTCTTAGGAAATAAACTTCACAATCAGTCCTTGTGATGTTTAACATGTGGCCCCTGCTTATTTAATCAAAGAGCTCACACTACGTATCCCACCAGCTGCCACCAGTTGTGACACGCCTCTCATGTATCCCCAGGATGTCTCACTAGCCTGAGGCCCAGGACATATTCTCTCCTTTACGCTGCCACCAGTTGACCTCTGTCTACACCCATTAATTAGATAGACTGAGGTCCAAGCTAAGTATAAAGTTGAACAACACAGGTTTATTGATTACAGTTCACTTAAACAGGTTCTTCACAGACTTTAATGTATTCATTAGATTAGTAATAATTTGTTTCACTCTTAACTTTCTTAGCTGTCTATAATAAGTTCCATACTCTTAACTCCTAACTCTGCCACACTCTCTAACTACCACAGACTAACTTCTCATCTCTGACTGAACTCTCCAGACTCTGACTCACCCCTCCCTTCTAGTTTCTCTGGCTCCGCCTCCCAACAGCTCCCATTGGTGTATGCAAATAACCTACTACATGAGCCAAAGCAAGGTGATCATCACAGTCCTTTGTTCTTATCTTCCACTTAACCATTTATCAATAGATGCCCATATGATGCTGGTGATTCTGGCACTTGGTGGGCTTAGAGGTTTTCTGCATTCCAAGGTTTGTATAAGCTCTGTCTGTGCCTCTTTATTGGGCAATAGTCTTGTTCCTCTGCCTTTTTTGCACTCTTCCTTTGCATGGCCCCCTCATTCCAGAAGTTTAAGATGTTATTTTGTGGGACTACAACACCCAGAATCCTCCTGTCAGCAAGATTCCTGGGAATTGGGAGCTGTAGTTTATTTTTCCAAAAAACAACCAACAAAATATTTTGAAGCTCTGCTTCCTGCCCACCACAAACCTGGAAGCTCAACAAAAGAAGAAACTTGACATGAGGAACATGATATTGCCAAGACATGAGCAAGTCCCTTCATGTGATAGGGCTTGTTCTCTGATACACTGGTCCGTGTGCTCCCTTGTTCTGTCCTGATAACAATCACAGGGCAAGAGCTAGTTCCATCTGGCCAAAACCTGAATGCAGAAAGCAGCCTTCTGCAAACTGGAGTGTTGGAGCCCAACACATCTGGAAGGTGTGAGGCCAAGGAATACTGGCATAGAATCACACAAGTCCTTTGTCTTACAAAGACTTCAACCTCAACGAACAAAAGCTGAATATTTCCCTGCATGGATTGGGTTGAGAACTACATGAAGAAAACAAGTTCTTCTGCTTGCCCTGGCATGCTAACTGAGCATTTTTAAAGCCAGCTACAAGGCTTGAAAATGTTTTGTTCGTACTTGTTAAGCTGGCTATAGGTTCTTATAGAATTCAGGTCATATATCCCAACATACACAACATACATACACAGTGAACCTTTTATTTAAAAAAAAATTGTGTCAGTATTTCATTTGGTTTCATTTGGTTTCAATTTGTTTCCTCAAACAACATATATACACAGTGAACCTTTTTTTAAAAAAAAAAAAAACATTGTGTCAGTATTTCATTTGGTTTCAATTTGTTTCCTCAATGTTTACGACTCTCTAGGGTGGCAATTATGTGTCACCCCAAAAGAGTTGAGTAGAAGATATCAATTTGCATGAAGTTTACATAGATCAATAGAGGCATACTCTTATCTCACTGGTCTAATTTAAATGTAATTAAATACAATCTATCTCCACATTTCCTCTAATTCAACTGCAATGTATTCCAATGAAAATTGCATCACTCTATAGATGGATGTTGTAATTTAGCTAGTCTAATTTACATGTAATTAAATACATCTATATATTTCCTTCAATTTAAATGAAATACATTAAGAATAATACAATAAAGCCACTTCAAGACACCAGAAGTTGACAATGGAAGTTTATTCCATTCCAAGTGACCACACTTGCTGGGAACAGACTAAACTGAGGCCCTCGAATCTGCCCCAACATAGTTGAACTGCCTGACTGGAAGTTTATTCCATTCCAAGTGACCACTCTTGCTGGGAACAGACTAAACTGGGGCCCTCAAATCTGCCCCAACATAGTTGAACTGCCTGACAGTGGTTCATAATGATGTGGGTTGGGGCAAATTGGTCCATTCCAGCAATGTCCGTTTGCGGATGCTGGAAAAAAGAGCAGGCTGACCCAACCCATAAACACACCAAACAGTGGGACAAATGCCTATGTGGACAGACTCTCAATCTCCCATTCCAATTATGGATCGGACTTGCCTGGACAGCCATTTGAATAAAGGAAACTTTTGGGCATTCTCCGACAGTCCTTGAAAGACTAGATTGTAAAGTCAGAAACATGGTTGTAAGGACAACTCATGGATGGAGTGTACTTTGGTAAGAGCCTTATGCCAAAATTTCAGGAGCCACCTTACTCTGTTGCTGAGCCTTTTATAGAAGCCTGGTGTAAATCAATCTAGCTAAGTTTTTCCTGGCAACCCAGTTTGATTGTGACTTGTATTTTTGGTTTTGTGGCATATACATGATATAGTTTTCTGGTTCAGAGGCTACAACAAACTATGCACCCCCCAACAGGATGTGTGGAGAGGAAGGGGGAACAGAGGCATAAGGAAAGCATTGTGTGAATCTCAAGTACAGTTATGTAAAAACTATGGTTTGCTACTGTCTCAACCAACTGATCCAGTGTGTGCCCCAGGCAATGGTTAAAGAATTAGAAGAATTTTTGAACTTCGCTGCAGTGGTGCTAGAATACATGGCTCCGAATGAATATATGAAACAAGAAGGGGGTGAATTACACATCCACCAATTTCCAAAGAGTCTACTGGTAGACATATAACAAGCCAACCTTGGATAATTTGATAAATTTTGGGGAAATGCCAGTAATGACATAAATTTCATCTGACATCAAGGGATGCTTAATTTCATATAATTTCTCAGGCTAGAATCTAATTGGAAATTTATGCATGCATGGGTGAAATTATTTAAACTGTGCCAGTGGATTGCTGCTAATTAATGAGGTGCTGGTTGGTTTCCTGGTCACATGGTCACATGCTTGCAAACAGGAACACAACCGACACCTCCTCATTTAGCCTCAATTCATCACTGCACTGTATACTATTTGACTTGCACATGTATAAATCTCCAGCAGGATTCTGGCCTCAGATAAATTGTTTTCATTTTTAAATTGGTTGATTCTAGCATAGTTAGCAGAAAATAAGCAAAATTACGCTCTATATTTATCTTATTAAACAGGTCTTTATTATATTACATTGCAAATAGTCTTAGGTTGTGACTACATGATCAAATATCGCAGATTTGCTGTAGTTATGGTACAGTATAAGCCAATTTCTGTACACATCAAGAAAAATTTTGGAACACTGCTACCTTTTCCTGAACACTTTTAACATTTTAAACCAAGTAGCTTGATAGCAAACTGTAAAAGGATTGCAGAGGTGGGACCAGAGGAAGTAAACGAAAGAAGGGCCCCCCTGTGGGTTGAAATATGAATTGTATTACATTGAGTGTGAATACTGAACTCTTGAATCAACAGTTTAGTTGTCCTTGTGCTTGCATACCTGGGTACACAGATGGCTGGAAAACTGCAAAAGTCATTTGTGCAAATCCCCTTATAAACTAAATATTTCACTACAGCATTTTGATTTAAAAAATCATTGCACCCAAATCTTAGATGTATTGCACTGAGGTTGGGCCAAAGAGGTAGTCCTAAGGAAATTTGCCTGTGAGTAGAACCTGTTGAACACATTGGGAGGTGCTAAAAATGTACATAGGACTGAGCATGCACAGCCTGAAGAAAAGCGAAGTAAAACACACAGTGAAAAGGAGGCAAGAGACCCCACCTACAATCCAATCCTGCCAGTTCATCTTTTCTTTTGTGGCTAGTTAGCAACTATGCTTCATGGTCTAAAACTAAGCCAGGATATTTGCAGGGATTTTTTGGAAGGAGGCAAAGTATATTCGCATAATTTGCACACATAGCACACACCACTATAACAAAGCACATCTGTATGTATAATTCAAACAACAGATAATTTTCGGGTTGTGGGGAAGGGAATGGCAAGTGCCCCCGTGCCCACATAATTTGCACATATAGCACACACCACTGTAGCAGAGCACATCTGTATGTATAATTCAAACATCAGGGAAGTTTTGGGTTGTGGGAAGGGAATGGCAAGTGCCCCCGTGCCCCCACAGCAGACATCCAGGAGAGATCCTGTTGCAACACATGTCTCCTAATGTATGAAATCTTTCCTAGGCAATGAGAGGAGGAGTGTTCTCCACAGTGTATCTTCTTGAGAACTACACATTGGTTGATGGTATATAGGATAGCAAATGTCTAGTAAACTGAAGAATGTTGTGGGATATGAGTCCAGCTTCTGTCTAGCGTTGTGTCAGAAGAGCACAGTCAAAAAGGCCTGGGTTCAAGGTCAAGAAGGCCTGGGTCCAAAACCTGTTCCGTTATTAATCAGTTGTTGCTCAAGAGATGACATTGGGGCAGAACAGCTTCCCTCATGATGTCCACTCCAGATGGATCCTGTATCACCCTGGTATTCCGATTGGGGTGATGGGCATTGTAGTGCAACACCTGGGGCAGAACAGCTTCCCTCATGTCCACTCCAGATGGATCCTGCATCACCCTGGTATTCCAATTGGGGTGATGGGCATTGTAGTGCAACACAATTGACAGATACTGGTTTGAGGAAGGCATGGTGCCATAATCACTTTATCTGAGCCTTACGTTATAGTACTGTATTGCTATGAGAAGAAAAATAGTGGAAAGGAAATAATGAGCGTTCTGCAGCAAAGGGGGTATGAAAGTGTAATAAATATACAGTGGTGCCTCACCTAGCAATGTTAATCCGTGCAGCAAAAATAGCTGCTAAGCAATTTCATCGCTAAGCGATATTAAAAAGCCCATAGAAACGCATTAAAACGCTATTAATGCGTTCCTATGGGCTTAAAAACTAACCTTAAGTGAAAATCCCCCATAGGGGCAGCCATTTTCGGTGCCTCTAAAGCGAGGCAACACAGTGGGTGGCCATTTTGTTTACCTGGCAGCCATTTTGGAACCGCTGATCAGCTGGCAGAAAATGGGGGCTTTGCGATGATCGCTTTCCTGCGATTATCGCAAAGCAAATTTTCCCCATAGGGACCATCACTAAGCGATTGCAAAAGCGATCACAAAACATTGTCGCAAAGCGATTTCTTCGTTAAACGGAGCGATCGCTATGCGAGGCACCACTGTACTGTATATTAATAAATATTATCTATAACTACAGATACATATAGATAATTTAGATCAAGATTGGTTCCTTGAACTCCTGCTTCTGTTCATCTTTATGGGAATGTGAGAGGGGGTCAGAGGGTTCCTATGCCCATCACTCTTGTCAGTCACTTCATTTGAATTGCCTGCTAGTATTCTCTGCCTGCCCCATAATAGCAGCACAGATTAAAATGCCAGGCATTGTCCTTGCTGGACTATAGAATTGTGTTCTCATAGTATCTGGTCTTAAAATACACAGTGAAACAGGTGCAGACACAGCTCAGTAGGTTTCTGTCACCCTCAGAGGGCCCCCCAATCTAACCCCTTCAAAGACAAAAGAGTGAGGTCCCAAAAAAGGGTCTCAGGTCATGCTTTAAAAGGTTGCCTCCATCAATCAAGAGCAGAATCTTTTGCTGTTGTTGATCAAGGAAGCGAAAGTGGAACAGCCCACTCCTCAATTGTCAAATGCTCTTCTACTGCAGGTAGTCAATTGTGATCTAGAGCCTCCTGCTTTTGGTGTGAACATTTATTATTATTTTTGGGGCTGTAGCTTCCAAAATCCCTTTGGATTGTTCTTAGTGGACTATAAGATTGTGTTCACATTGGGTCTGATCTTAAAATACACAGCATGATCATATAGCTGAGGGTGCTGTAGTCCAAAAATGGCAACTTCACATCTCTTAAATTTGTCAACCACGCACGTTTTCTATTATCAGCCATGACTGGTGTCCTGCTTCTTACATTTTGCTTGGATGGAATGAAGAGAGTTAGCCCTTTCATCTGCCCGTTTTCACTGTTGTTCTGTCCCAAGTTTTCCCAAGTCACTTCTGACTTATGTCAACTTTAACAGAGTATTCAAGGGACACAAGATGTCTAAGAAGTGGTTGACCATTTGCACTGCCCAGAGAGTTCCTGAGGCTGAGCAGGGATATGAACCTACTCCCTCTTTCAGACAGAGATGTGTGACACTCTTCAAGACACTATGCAATAACATTTTGAAAAATCACCTAAAAAAGGAAGAAAAGAAAGAATACCATGTATGTGCATGGTATGCTCAATTTGGAAGGCTCTCATGGTTTTCAAAGAATTAGCCATTTTAGTTTGTGCAAGTACATCAGGGGAAAAAAAACCCAAAAAAGAAAAAACCAGGAGATGAAAAAGTTGTGGCACCTTAAAGATTAACTCTCGTGTTTTAATGCAAGCTTTTGTGGGTCAAGTCTGAAAAAGTAGAAGAGGATCTGATTCATGGATAATCTATTGATTTACGAATCAGCTACATTTGTGTCCTGCTTTCCCCATGGGACTGAAGGTGGGGTACATGGCTCTTCTCCCCACTTTGTTTTCACAACAGCCCTGAGAAGTGGGTCAGGCTGAGAGAATACACACAATGGTCTTTCATGCAGACAGCATGTGAATATGGCAATTTTGTGGCTAAAACAGCTGGAGGTGGACTCAGGAAAAAAAAAAGAGCAGAGAGAGGCTAAGCTTTCCAGTCAGTTAGAAGCTGCTGTATATCATCAGACTGTTCCTCTGACTAGCCCAGTAATATCTGCACTGACTGGCAGTGGCTGTTCAGCATCTCAAACAGGGAGGGAGATGCCATAGGTTGAAACTGGGACTTCCTATCTCCGAAGCTGGGCCATGATCCCTTTCTATCCAAGATGTGCTTTATTAGCTATTAAAGGTGGGAATTGTGGGAAACAGAATTCTCAGCTGATTTCTATTTTGTTTCTGATCCTCAACTTGTTTGCTGAGAACTCATATCTCTTCTATCTGAGAACACTCTCCTCAGAGTTCTGCCTTTGTCATGTTAACATCAAATCTGCGTGCCTCTGTGTGTGTGTGTGTGTGTGTGTGTGTGTGTGTGTGTGTGTGTGAGAGAGAGAGAGAGAGAGAGAGAGAGAGAGAGAGAGAAATAGCATAATAATGTTAGAGGGGAAATACAGTACAGTAGTTTATTACACTTAATTCAAAAAGCAGTTTTACTGTTAGAGGGGAAATACAGTAGTTTATTACACTTAATTCAAAAAGCAGTTTAGGCCTTGAATATTTGAGATGGATGGCCAGTTTGGTCCTGCCAATAGAACTGAAGAGGTAATACAATGTTCTTAAAGCTCATACACAGGAAGAAGAGAACAGGTGAATATATGTCTGCTTATTCTGGGCAAAGCCTCAGGTTCTGCATAGGGGCCCCATTTTGTAATGACATCCAGTACTATCTTAAAAATATCCAGCATTATCTTAATGAATATCTCTCAGCCTTGGTTAAGGTAACATTCTTAGCAAACATGATGTGCTCACATGAGAACCAGTCCAACTGGGAGAGGCACGCCTTGTGCCACAGGCCAGAGCTCAGAAAACTTACTTTTTAGATGATGACTCCCGGAATCTCCCATCCAGTATGGCTAATGGCTATGCTAGCTGAGAGAATCTAGGAGTCATCGTCCAAAACAGTAATTTTTCTAGACTTAGAAGAAAAGTGTGCTGCTGAAACAGTCAGAATGTTCGCTGCTGCCAACAGCTACAGAAGCTGCCAGTCACAGAACATGAAGCCATTGAAGCCAAAAACTCTATCTCCTGAGTTTATAAGGTATAGGGTCCCAAAGCCAGTTTGAGTCTACCACTGGTGTGTCCCTTTGCTGGGAACATACCCCCATCCTTGCTGCTGCTGCAGCAGCTAGTGGTGTGTCTCAGCTGGCAACTTCTCCCCTGTTGGGAAAATAGCAGAGTTGGGTCTCCTGTGGTTTCCTCACATGGTATCCTATGAGCCCTTTTACCCCAGAGATATCATAGGACCTTTTCATGTGTGTAAACCTGTGGGCCAGAGCATGTGACTTTAATTACAGCTGCCAGTGTTTAGATATTGTAGGTGCATCTGAATAAGTAGCAGTGTTGATGATGATTCCAGCATATGTTAGCAACATGCAGCCATAATGTGGCCCTGACTAAACATAGGATCCTGCTAGAGATGGGATTTTTTTTTTTTGAATGACCACTTCTTGACCATTCACCAAGGCAAGTCAACATTTTTACCACTTCACAAAAGCCCAGCAGATGGGACAATTACTTTCTGTTGAAATTCTAGTTCTTGTTTGATTGTGGGATGTGTGTAGAATACGTGTGTGCCTTATGTCTAAATAGCAGCTGAGTAAGAGGGCAATGTGCAAAGCAAGTACAGGTGCAACACAGATAAAGCGTGAAGCATGTGAGGCCATGATGTGCACAAAGTATATACAACGTGGGTGGGTAATGTGCATGTGGATGCAGCCTTTTGCACTGTGAGAGCACGCACGCCAGAAGGGTATGTGTATCTGTTCTATTTTTACTGGCCAGTTGCACTCTGGCTTCAGCTTAATACTCCCATCCTTTCTCTCATCTCTTCACAGTCAGAACACTTCCAACCTCCAGCCATCACTTCTCTTCTGCCTGGACTGCACTAGGTAAGACACTTCATCAAAGCATTAGCCTTGGGGTAATCATGTAGCAAAGGAATTGGGATAATTTATAGTTTGGAGCCTGGAGAAAGAACTTCATTTTGCTCATAGTAGATGAAAATCAGCTGGCTGAGTCAGATCAGAGCAGGCAATGTACTCAGGCAAGGCCATTAAATCTGCATTGGCAGTACCACATAAGCATGAATGCAGTCACAGGCATTGCTGAGGTTATTATTACTATTAGTCCAAGCACCTTAAAATACACTAAGTAGATGGATAAGGCAGAAACCTAAGGGCAGGTTTCACATTGTGATTCATGAGATCTGAAGAGAAATCCTTATGAACATTCCCTGGAGCAGATGCCAACAGTATAGTCTACCATGGAGAAGATAACATACAAGGTGGCTGTCACAGTTTTCTGATAGATAGATAGGTTATTGGGCACGAAGGTATGTTTATAAAGAAGATAACATACAAGGTGGCTGAATGTGTCACAGTTTTCTGATAGGTAGATAGGTTATTGGGCACGAAGGTATGTTTATAAACTGATTTTCTCCATACCAATGCTTATACAGTATACTTGACTGTGTACTAAGAAAGAGAGTCTGAAGAAATAGTTTCTGGACTTTGAAACTGACTATATGAAGGTAATTTTTGGCAACCTCTATTAAGGATGTGATCACAGTTAAGTTGTTGAGTTATGGATAGGCATTTTTTCATATTTGGTTTCATTTCTTGCTTCTTTAATTGAAGAAGACCTTCTGCACTTCTCAGTTTTGCTACTGCCATTCTCTATGGTGACAACAGCTCACAGATCAAACAGGGGCATCTCTCCTTGTCAATCTACGAACCACCCTTGCTCGGTTCTCAAGCTGCCTATGTCACGGAGTGGCAGAAGTGTGTTGGCAACTTAAGACTAGCTGTGGGACAGAGAAATGCTCTCTTGTTCTGGAGTCTGTAGGTTCTGCCTGTCAAATGACTTCTGTTTCACATGATCGTTCATGCACTGGGACATTTCTGCTTCAAACAGAATGCTAAATGTTTGAAAAGAGGTAGAGGATGCCATTTCTGCCATCTTTAGATTATTTTTTTTTTGCTGGTAAGGATGGGTAGAACTACTAGGCCAAACATTAGTTAAATCAAGCCATTTATGAAATAGAAATTGTTTCCCGTGGATTCATCACACATGGAGAGTACATAATCTGCTATTTAAAAGGCAGGGTCAGACCGAGCAACCAATATATCATATGTGGCACACCATGGCAGACCCCAAAGCCATCCAAACATCCAAAGTTAACCTGCAACAGACATCCTGTCTATATTATTCCTATTTAACAGAAAGTTCAGTGGACTTAATATTTCACTTGTAAGGTTCAGCACTAGAAAGAGAAATCAAAAGAGGATATCCAGAGGCTACCTGTCATAAGCAAAAGTTGTATGGAGTAATATAGGAAGATTTTATTGCTGGGTCAAGATCAACTATTATCCCAGTTCTTGCTCTTCTAAATGGGGACAATTTTTTTAATGCAGTGTGTTTTCTATAATTTTAAATCTGTTTAAATGTCCTTATTGCTGATAATTTTTCTTTAAATTTTCAGGCACTCCGTTCCTTTGCACAATGCCTGAACCGTAAGTAGGATAAATTTTCCTGGCGTTATTCTTCTTTTTCTAAATTGTCTTCCAGGAGCATTTAGTTCAGGTTTGGTCATCATATTTCTTACATAGTTTCTGAGCTTGGTCAAATAACTTTTTTGCATGGTGTCTGGCATATAAGAATGGTTACACGTTTACCTCAGGAATCCTCCTCCCAAAATGGCAGTTCTATGCCCAGTTCTTCTCTTCCCTTCTCATGACATTGGATGGCTTCCAGTTGTTTAGCATAGTACATTGACCCACAGTAGGCCCATTGAATCTGTGGGGATTAGATGAGTCAACACTCTAAGTTCCATTGATCCAGTGGGACTGCTATACGGTAGTTCTGATAAAGAATGACAAATGCTGAGCCAACATTTCTGAGAAAACAAGTTTTGGATGAACATTCTGATATTTCTCTTTCTCTTACTCTCCTAAAAATCCACTTTGCAAAATTATTTCTCAGATCTCCCCAACATTTTATTGGCCACCTTGGGTGCTTTTAAGGAGAAAAGTGAGGTAGAAACAAACAAACAGACAAAATTGGTGACTGTTTCCCTGTCACCATCACCACATTGTCGTAAATGGACTGCGGGCACCGTGGAAAAAACAATGTGGCAGCCAGGCTCCTCTAACCCAGTTGTTGCTGACACCACTTGCAGTGGCAATGGGGGGAAAAACAACAACAACAACAACAATAACAACAACAAACAAAAAAGAACTTTGGGGGAAAAAGAGTGAAGTTGTCCCACAATCACTGCTAAAGTGATTGTGGGAAAACTGCTCCTCTGAGAAGTAAACTGCTCGGGAATTTCTCTTCCCTTAGGAGAAACTAGATGAAAATTTTCAGCCCAATTTTTTTTTGCCTACAAATAGGGTATAGAATTGTGACAGCCCTTTTCCCCACAGGTTTTAGGCCAAACACCCATATACATATGTGTCATATGTTGTCAAGTCAATTCTGATTTAAAGCAACCTCAGTAGGATTTCTAAGGCATGTGAGATGTTTAAGGAGTGATTTTATCAGTTCCTCCAACCCACTGAGTTTCCATGGCTAAGTGGGAATTTGAACCCAGGTCTTCCAAGTCCCACTTTATCCACTATGCAGACTCATCCAGACAGATGAATCTAGAACATGGTCCATAATAACAGAAATGCTTCCATGAAAGAACATTTGCTCACTGCCGAGGTCTAACAGTGTCCAATGTGGAATATGCATACCTTTGGATTTTCTGTAATAACAAGTCTGTAATAGACAAACTGGAAAATATGCCCTGAGGGCAGGAAGTCCAAACCACCCTTTGATTCAATACTGCATGTTAGTTATCGATTTTTTCAAAATGCAAAATATAATTGTTTATTGAAGACAGCAAATACTGTCAAATATCAGCTACAAAATCTACAGTGATGAGTGTTTGGCTGAATGTTAACTATCCAGAGACGTGTTGAGAAGACAACCAGCAATATTCATAAAAGGGAATTTTGGGGAGAAATGTTGAGGGTGAAGTCATTTCAACCAAGCAAAGACTCGTAAATCATATTGCACGAACCAGCCACTAGATGGCAAAATAGAACCTAGTGTGTGTATTTGTCAAAGGATTTTGCCTTTTTCCTGACTTCTGTTCTACCCTTGCCTACAGGATAGAAGGTTCATCTCCATTCTTTTGTTTTAGAATGTAATTCCTGTTGACAGGCTGGTAATTCTCTGATCCAAAATGCCCCCCTGATCCCACTTGTGCATGTGCCTGAGTAAAGAATCACAGGCTTTGAGATCAGCTGGGGAAATTAATGCCCACCTGCAGGTCTAAGTTCTCGCCTTCATCTTTTGCTCCCATCTTATGGAAAGCCCTGTGAGAATGTGTGAGGGCAATGTTAGGCAAAGTGAACTGGTCACATCCAACAGCAGAAATAGAGCTGGCAGCAAGGTGCTGGAGAAGAAATCTATGTGCCACAGAACTTTCCTAGTGAGCTCTAAGGCAGCCCACTTCTTCCAGGTGTGTTGGTATAGGATGCTCTCCTATTGCCAGCCCTCAAATATGATTCAGCTTCCAATCCAATCACCTTTAATATATGACATGGGTAGAGGGGACAGTATCAGAGATTGTGACATGCACTGAGCCAGCCCTGTGGGATGTTTTAGAACATGGAGCAGCAAAGGTGGAGAGAAATGCTGAATAATATTTTAATTCATGTTCTTTAAAGGTAAGCAAAATAGCTATATCTATTCAGTAAGGCCTTAGTATCCATGGACTTTATATCAGAAATATTGCTAAATTCAGCACACAGAGATCTCATTGCATTTCCTTTAACCTTCTTATTCCTTTGTAGCTCTTCTTCACGTGTATACTGTTTACACTGACTTGTCGAACGGCAGGCTCTTTTCATAAATTTATTACTAATAAATGAAGAATTGATAAGATCAAGCTCTTGTGTCATATGAGACATTGCCTGCAGTATCTCTTCTCATGGTAATACTCTGTTATGGTAGTCATCAGCACAAGGCAGAATTCCCTTGTGCTGATGACTCTTCCAGGTTCATCTTCCTTTCTGTACTCTGGTTCCCCAGTTTAATGAGTAGCAGAGGCAGACAGCTAGAAAGTCATCATTTTGAAAGTCACAATATTCTGCAGACATAGTAAAGCATGATACAAAGCATTGTGGGTAATCAGCCATGGCACACTGCTTACAACTGGCTGCCCATTCATGGCACTAACAGTGAGCCCAGGAAGAGCCAGGCAATGGAGGGACTATATCTGGAGGGAAAAGACCAGGAATTTCCCCTGAAGCCTGGCCAAGTGAGAGATATATGGGAATGAGAAGTAGCAACCTAGCAAGACTGGCTAGGCAGGAGCAAGGATGAATGATTGGAAAAACAAAGGGATAATGAGAGAAACTGAGTTTAGAGGTCATACTATCTATGATTAGTCATTTAACTCTGTCTTTTGGGGATTGAGCCTCATTAGTGAGTCTTATGGATACCCATCAAACCATAGGGCTAAGTAAGGAAACTTAGAAAGGCTTGTTACATACAGAACCTGCAGGAGTGGTAGAGCAAAGTGAAGTGTGCTGTTTATATACTACCCCACAGTGTTTAAAGCACTCTCTAGGCAGTTTACAATTATTCAGGTTGCACATTGCCAACTCCCCAGCAAGTTGGGTACTCAATTTACCAACATTGGAAGGATGAAAGATTGAATCAACCTCAAACCTGGGTCTTCGCTGCTGTACTCCTATGGCATGAAGAACAGCTGGGGTAGGACATACCAAAATGGAATTAATTTGAGGTCTATGGAATTAATTCACACACTATAAAAGTGTTGTCCATTTTGGCAATCTCTTATATTTTGTGTCTTTGATGTTTGCATATTCACTGTATTCATTATGTTATCTCTGATTTTATTCCTTCTCCCAAATGAACTTCCACAGGGAGGTAAGACCAGATTATTTTTTTTTGTTATAAAATTTCAGTGTGGTTGTGCAGTGATTAGAAGATACTTTTAAAAAGTAAAGGTTTGTTTGTTTGTTTGTTTTCATAGAGGAAATCCAAGATCACAGCCTCACGCAAACTTCTTTTGAAGGTGAGTCACAATGGAAGTTGTGTTGGATTTGTCTAAACTGAGGCAACAACCAACTGTCCTGAGTTAAAAGGGGCTGCCTTGAATGTAGGTGCAGCAAGCTTATGCAGAAGATTATACAGGATTTCTGTCTCATGAATTATAGGCAGACTGAGCAGTTTGTTCCATAAACCTCTGGTGTGGCTTAAACAAACAAGGCGATGGTGGGAAAACATTACCTTTTCATAGATCCCGTGCCTTTCAAATGTTTGCACCTTTTTGTTTCAGAGTTTGATGCTGGCTAAAGCCAAAGAACAGTGGGAACAAGAGCAAGAGGACAAACAAGGAGAAAAACAGAGATATTTGGCAGAGAGAGTCGCACCTCTGCATACCAGTGGACTTTCATTTGCTCAGCTACAGGTAAATACTTGGCTCGGGGGACATAGTAACTCTTAGACAGTATCTAAAGACTAGCTAGGTGGCCAGATAGCTCAATGAGGTATCTGGCTGTGGAGCCAGAAGTTGGTTGTTCACATCTCCACTGGGCATTCCAGAAGAGCCAACCTGTGCAGCCTTGGGCAAGCTGCAGTATCGCAGGATTCCCCCAGAAGAAGGGAATGGTAAAGCACTTCCAAGTATTCTCTACCCGAAAAACTCTGAAAAGGGTCACCCTAATTTAGAATTGACTTGAGGAAACGCAATTATTATTATTATTATTATTAAAGACTAGCTGAGCATAATAGAGAACTAATAAGCTGCAGGCAAAGAGTGAGTGAACGCAACCTTACAATGAGAGAGAATGAATTGGCCACCTAAGGCAGCAGATTTGGGCTGTCATGGAAAGGTAGTTTTTTGTTTTTTTTGTTTTTTAATTTCCTGATGATTTGATTTGCACTGTCAGAAAGCATGAGAAGCCATTGTGATGGTTTTTTTTTGCCTCAGGTTGCACAATTGCTTCTCTGTCCTTGTATACTGGGGACCTTCCCTTCTGAAGTGTAGGCTATCATCTGCTCTTATGCCTCAGCAGCCAAATGCATTTGGCAGGCCTGAGATTTGATTCAGATCTTTAAAGTTTATGCCTTCATAGGGACAAGCAGTTGGTCTAATCTTTTCACTAGACCATAGAGGTGCTTCACAGACCTACCTGGAGAGGGAATGACTGATGTCTTTGGGAAGGTCATTCACTGCTACATAAGAGAAAGACAAAACAGGCTGGCTTATTCAAATTTGCATGTACAGATGAATATTTAGAAGAACTACTATGGTTTAAATAGAAATAAAGCCTTTCACATACAGTATAGTGGGAAAGGCTGCACATCATTGCCTTGTATGATTGCCCAGTTTACTATTTGGGTGTTAACTGTTGCGAGATAACTTGAAGGTTTCTGCCCTGCTCCCTCTAGTTGTCATTTTTTATCTGTAAACAGAGGACTATTCCTTTATATAGTAGAAAGCATGACCGCCCTAGATGGCCTGCAGGTTGGATCTTGACTAGTAGTAATCTAGTAAAAAAAATATGCACTAGATTTTGAGAAGGTACCCATGGACCAATTTCTCTTTTTAATGGTATAGGATCTGTGCAGGGAGTTACATAATAAAATAGATGTGGTGGATGAAGAGAGATATGACATTGAAGCAAAATGTAACCACAATACACGAGAGGTAAGAAGGCCAAAGGATGTCTGCAACAGTATTTGTATTAAATGCTGCTAGGGATGGGAAAGACGCTTGTACAGACCCTAGTTTCAGAACACATTTATCTAGTTCATGAGCTATAGAATGAACAGTAAAACTTGCAATGCCATTTTTTTTGTTTCCCATCACTGGAGGGAAAGATTTTTTCATCCCCAAATTATATGCAACTAAATGGACGTCACTAAAATATGTAATTTTGGAAAAAAAAGTGCATGATTTTTTTTTTCTTTCCCATTTAGTCAATGGGGAAAATCTGTACAAATGCATGCACTAGGTAAAGAGCATACTAAAAGTGCACATCAGTTTCCTTATATTTCCATATGGGAATCAAAGGAAAGTCTGATATCAACCTGATATTGAGCAAGAAAAAAAGATGAAAATATAGTTGAGATTTGGAAGAATTTGACAAAACGGATTTTCACATGCCTGTCAGCTATATATTTAAGTTCTGTACTTGGCTCTCATGGCAATAGGCCTGAGATACCAAAGGTGGAATTTTCTCGTGGATTATAAATATGACATTCAGGACCTCTTGAGCACCTGTTGGAGTCCAGAACACTATTTTAAAAGGAAGGGCTCATATGTTGTAGATTCTGTGAATTCTTCATCACACAGAAAACAACTGCTGATTTTGTAAAATTGGATATTCACACGAAATCTCCTGATTTTATTCAGGAGCCACTAGTTTCTTTATTCTACAGTTGCACAGACAAAACAAAAGGCAACTTGCTATGTGCTTTCTCTTTGGTATGATAAAAGGCAGTGACAAAAGGCAGGTATAAAATTTTGGCAGGACAATCTCTCTATGCCCAGAATATCTTTCAGCATTCCCAAAGCATTTCTTTCTGTGGTGGATAAAGATGGACTAACTTATGCTAGCTCCTTACAGTCCTGCAATAAGGGAGGAACCTTCTTGAGCTTAGACTTTCCATGGCTTATGGCCTTATGTAGCTTCTCCTCGATCACTTCTTGCTCTGCAGATTAAAGACCTAAAATTGAAAGTGCTTGACCTCCGGGGAAAATTCAAGCGTCCTCCTTTGCGGCGTGTCCGTGTCTCTGCTGATGCCATGCTGAGAGCTTTGCTTGGCTCAAAACATAAAGTTTCCATGGACCTGAGAGCCAATCTCAAATCTGTCAAGAAGGAGGATACGGAAAAGGTTGGTGACTGAAAGCCCTCACCCAGTAGTTAGGGCCAATACCTTCAGGTACTTTCTGTAGTCACAGGTTAGGAAGATTTACCTGTTTATGTTCATTGACTATTTGCAAAGGACAGCATGACAAATATAGTCCTATCAATATTTTTTACTTTCTTTTCTAATGCCATGAGTAACTAGTATGAGAGATGTCTTCATTCAGTAAGAATTCTTTTGGTCAACCAATCTTTCCTTAAGTATTGTGAGGTAATTTTCTTAATTCTGACAGAATTTTATCTCTCACATTTTAGAAGGCTGTTGAAAGGAATTGTTTTTATGCCACTGTGGTTTCAGAAAAAGTCCATTATAGTATTGGGACACTGAGGAGTATGTCACAGGTTTTAAAATAAGTAGTATTCTTAGTATTCTTATAGTAACATTCGAGATATTCTTATATTACCTGCTCTAGATCATTTATGATTAACAAGTCCCACTGATTTCAGTGAATCTAACATTAACTTTGATTTACAACCAGCAATTTGTTACTAGGCTGTTAATCAGGACTATCTGTATGAGCACCTGTGATACTCCACATGCAAATCAAGGGAATTTGCAAAATATATCCCTTTCTATCAGAGAAAGGAAAGATGCTGTGCAGGCTATGGAATCCTCACAACTGTAAACTTCACACTATAGTTTGCAAAGCTTGGAAAATTTCCTCTTTTTTGGATAAATGATCAGAGGATTCTAGAAGTAGTAGTCCAAAAACTAACTATTCCACACTGTAGTAACTTCTTTCTCAGTTCTAAGACATTGATTACTAATTTGCAGCTTCATATCTCTAAGGGCTAGAGACTTTAGAATGAAGTATACTTCAAGCTGCACCCATTGTACTTGTAGGGTGATCATATGGAATGATGCTTTATCTCTGGCTGTATTAATTGGTCCTTCATGGATGGCACTAATGTGTGGTTTAACTTACTGGTTTCCTTTATAGGAACGTCCTGTAGAAGTGGGTGACTGGCGTAAGAATGTGGAGGCCATGTCAGGGATGGAGGGAAGGAAGAAGATGTTTGATGCTGCCAAATCTCCAACTGGACAGTGAAAAGTACTGCATTTTCTTAACCTCTTCTTCCTTGTCTAGAGTCCAGTGCAAACCAGATTTGCTTGCTACTGGCAAGGAGTCTCAGTCTCTCTGCATTCTCGATCCCTGGTTGACATTTCCGGTAAAGCTGAATATAGTAGCCACTCAAATTGCCAGCGTCTAATAATGAGAAATGCCACAGAGATGTGGGCATCCCCTTAGGGTTTTGTGGCTGATAAGCTTTCACATCAATGCCAGAAGTTTGAAGTGTAACTTATTGTTCCAGCCCTGTAATCAGTATTGCTTATATGAATCAGGTTCAAAGTTAATTGAGAGGACACAAGGGGTGTGTTATCTTTAAGGAGCATTATGGCTTTGTGTCTTATTATTTATCAGTTCCATCTTATTGTATACAAGTTGCATTGTGGTTTGGCATATTTTGCTAATTAAAAATAAGGTTATGTCCACCTCACTGCCCTGGAAATAGAGGACATAACACTATGCCACTAGACATACAAGGCTAACCAAAATAATGTCCCATGAATGTGGACAGCTGTCTTGCTGAGACAGTCCTGCAATACCAGTCAGGGCACTGAATCATAGTACCAGAAATCGTGAAGTGAAACAACGGACTTAACCTGATTGTTAGTCCCAGCTAGAGGAGAGCTATTGGATCAATGAAACTTACATGAATGTCAAGGAGTTTCATAGATTCAGTGGGTCCACTTGAGTTGGCACTAACAACTGAATGTAGCCCAGTGCTTATTTTCGAAACATGTATCTTGGACCTAAACCCCAAGTTCTGCATGCTATTCAGTGTGAGAAACACTGAGCCAAATCTCATGCAGTTGGATCCAATCAAAAGCTTCCTGGCCCCTTGCTTATTTTCATGCATGGCTTCCTGCAACATTAATGAAACCCACAGCTCCCACTCCCAGCTGTGTTTTGTCTTTCCTTAAAAGGCATACTGTTATAGTAAAATAATCACTGGTTGGGACTCTTTGGGGGATTCCAGACACCTCCCTTTCATTACCCTGCAGGCTGCTATTGTCAACAATAAATCAACCCCTTTTAATCATGGCTAGTAAATTGTTTTATAGTTCTGCATCATAAAATCTTGGAACAAAACAGGAACTGATCATCATCCACCCCCCTATTTTTACTGTGATATCATATGTCACCGGTTTTCTTGCAAGTGAAGCTGAAAAATACAGGAGTGAACATCATGTTGATAACAAGCACCCATGTGAAGTGTCCAGAAATATAAGAAAGCAAGAGAGTGAGTGTCCCCTGACCCTGGGATTCCCCCTTATCCTGTATTCCAAGGCTAAAGAGTTGGAATGGGAAACAGAACTATGCCTAGCATCCGGCTTCAGCAAGTGAAACCAAGTGGAGTTCTGCAAAACATATTCTAGAATCATAACTCCACTCTCATTCTCCTTATTGTCTCCCAAAGCCTCAACTGTGCATATGGTGTGGTGAATTTCATGGGAGATGGCACAGAGTAAGTTCATCTCTGAGGAGTATTAGACCTTTTCTATACAGCTAAGATGTAATTTTTAGCCCAGCTACTTCCCTTTATCTATTTCCTGCTGCTACTCCCTCTACCTAGTTCTTGCTGCTCCAGAATCACAGTTCTTGTACACATGCTGTACTTGACCTTAGCTTTCCACACTGGTGTACCATCCAGTTGCAGTGCAAGCCTTCAGTGGGTTTCTCATCCTGCTGTGCCCAACTTGAGAAGTCTGGATTGAGGGCATATCCACAGCTCATTCACTTGGCATTGTGTTGCACATCGAGAAGGGAAATGTGGTTTTTTCTCATACTACAACTCCCAGAACATATAGGAAGCACAGGAGTTCAAAAATCAAATATTTCCCATTTCCAGTTATGTGACTGCCACTTACCTTTGGCTGTGAGGAGCTCTTTAAACTCTGCAGGATACTGAGTCCCTGTGAATTCCACGCACCTATTCTGTGAATATATGGGACGTGGTGGCGCTGTGGGTAAAACTACAGAAGGCTCTGTGCTGCAAGGTCACAAGATCAGCAGCTGTAAGATCGAATCCACATGACAGAACAAACTTCTATTGCTTGTCCCAGCTCCTGCCAACCTGGCAGTTCAAAAGCATGTAAAAATGTGAGTAGATAAATTGGTACCACCACAGTTGGGAAAGGTAATGGCATTCCGTGTCTAGTCGCGCTGGCCATGTGACCACGGGAATTGTCTATGAACAAATGCTGGCTCTATGGCTTGGAGACGGGGATGAGCACCACCCCCTAGAGTTGGACTAAATGTTAAGGGGAACTTTACCTTTATTCTGTGAATGTTTGTTCAGTCATCCCACTCACTCATTTAACCATAACTGCCCCCTCCCCCAATTTTTATTTAGGCACTTAAGGGTGCAAATACACAGGAAAGTCAAATTGGAGAGATCAGGCTTTGCAACAATTTGATTTGAAGCCTCTATTACCTTTGAAATCAGAGTTGGTGCTCACACAGGGGCTGTGGATTGATTTGAGAATTCACTGTTCATACTGGATATGATGCTATTTACATTTAAGCCCAAAGTCCTCTTCTTTCCTTCCTTCCTCTGGTCCCATCTCTGCCAATCCTTCCTTCCTCTGGTCCCCCAGTCTCGGACATCATACCTCAATTACCTATGTCACTGAAACACCAGCTACAGACATTCCCCCACCCCATCTTTACAAGAATGTATCACAATTAAGACATCATACCTCAATTGCCTATGTCACTGAAACACTAGCTACAGACATTCCCCCACCCCATTTTTACAAGAATGTATCATAATTCAACATGCAGGAAAAAGACTGTTCAAATCATTCTGACTTGAAAAAGTGGAAGCTCCCTAGAGGCAGGGGTCGGGGGAGGGGAAGCCGCTTTGGAAGCAAAAAGAGTTGGACCAATTAGAATCAGCCCTTGCATCATGTGGTCAATTTAAAAAATGAATCAAATTGACCTCTTTTATAAGTAGAACAAATCCCACATTACAGTATTTAAGCATGTAGTTGCAGTCTTAAAACTGTGTGGTGCAGGGAATATTTAATCATGTAATTGCAGTCTTAAAACTGTGTGGTGCAGGGAAAATGTAAGAGCAGAACCCAGGATTAGAGATGGGCGCGATCTGCCAGTTCAGTGGTTTGTGCAGGTTCAGCCATCCACCCAACGAGTGTTCCACTGTTCTGAGCTGCACCTTGTCCAGCAGGCACCCACTTAGAGGCAGTGCCCAGAGGAAGTTAGGCAGGGAAGCTGCCTCCAAGTGGGTGCCTGCCAGAGGAGGTGGGACTCAGAAGTCCTCAATACCTGTTTGGCCAATGAATGAACAGGCATGAACTGCTAGACTGGTAGTTCATGCCCATCTCTACTCAGGATGTTGTTGTTGCTGTTTAGTCATTAAGTCGTGTCTGACTCTTCATAACCCCATGGACCAAAGCACGCCAGGCCCTCCCGTCTTCCACTGCCTCCTGGAGTTTGGTCAAATTCATGTTGGTAACTTCGATAACACTATCCAACCACCTCGTCCTCTTTCTGGTATAATTCCTCTGTGTATTCTTGCCACCTCTTCTTGATGTCTTCTCCTTCTGTTCATGGAGTTTTCTTGGCAAAGATACTGGAGTGGTTTGCTAGTTCCTGCTCCAAGTGGACCACGTTTAATCAGAACTCTCCACTGTGGGGGTGCCATTCCCAAGGTTGCTAAGCTGTTGGCTTAATCTACAGTAGAGAGAAAACCCTCCTGGATGATGTCACAGCTCCTTCTGAGGGGCATGACTGCCCACCATTTTTCTTCTTTAAGCAAGAGAGCTTGCTTAAAGAGCCTTTCCTTAGGCCAATCATAATGGCATGATGTAACCATTGTCCTATCTGAACTCTGTAACCTATCCGCATGCTGTCCACTATCTGTGAGCTTGTAAGGTTAATAAAAGCATAGTCCTCCTGGGCAGGACAGAATTCATTGGGAACCCATTCAGTGTTATTCTGCCTCTTCTACTAGTCGACCACCAGGAGCAGTGCTGGCAGACATCCCTGTGTTTGGCTGACGACTTTAACTTCTAGCTCTAAGAGACTATTTGCTATCCTAATTATCTGGTGATCATCACAAAGCCCATCAGCCTGCTGATTTCGTGACTCCAACACTCCACTAAGACCTGTCCGTCTTGGGTGTCCCTGCACGGCATAGCCCATAGCTTCTCTGAATTACTCAAGCCCCTTCGCCATGACAAGGCAGCTATCAGTGAAGAGGCTACTCAGAATACATGACTTGAAATCCTTGCTTAGCCACAGAAGCTAACAGGGGGTGATAATCGTAAACTGCTCCTTGAACATTTCACATATTTTGGAAGCCCTGTTAGGGACATCATCTCAGATGCAACTTGCAAATTTAGACTACTTTCTTGTGCTAACATGCTTGATTATTTTTTTGTTAAATATTTTTTTGTATGGAAAGGACTTCATCAAGCATGACAGTTGTCCATTTTATTATTGGAAAGCTCTTTGACTAGGATAGTACTTCCCTAATTAAACTATTTCTTTGCCTTCTCAATTTTATTTTTGCAGGTCCTGAATGGAAAGATGAAGACCACCTCCCACAATGCCTGTGTACATCTCTGCCCCTTTCTTTTGCCGATTGGTGTTCCCCCATTTTCTGCATTAGGAGTAGAACTGATGTCTTTAAGGACATTATTCAAGAATTGTTATGGTTTTGCATTTCAGCAATTCATGATCCCGTCAAACCAGCAATAGGAACACTCAACCTCTTGCTAGCATGAGTCATACAATGACCACCACAACTATCAAGCAATGCAGCCTTCCTTTCAAAACCATTTCAGCTGTACTAGAGGCATGCCAGTAGTTGGATAATGTGCATATAAGGTGAAAGTGGAAAGAGGACACTGTACCGTACATGGTCCTCTGTAAATGTACAGAAAACTGTATTGATGCTATGTCATATCAACTAGAATCAGTGAAGACCCTTGCTAGGGTAGGTCCTTTGGTGGCCTGCTCTTCTACTCCAGAAAGTCCTTTAGCTTTTTCCATGGCAGTTTTTCTATGTACAGTTTGGGTGCTGCAACAATTATTTCTCTCTCTGTATCATTAAACAAAACTAAACAAAACCCAGCAGCATCAAGAATGAATATACAGGATCTGTGTTTCTTTCTAAATCTCCTTAATATGATGATGGGTGGATTGTGCTATTGCTTCTGATATCACAGTGTTTCAGAATGGTGAGAAGTCCAGGAGACATATTAGGTTCTTCATCATTTCCATGCTTCTCTTCTCTTTCTTATCCTATTTATTTTACACTAGCTTCTTTTCATTTAGGCTCTGGCCTCAAATCCAAATGAAGTGGGACCTTTTGTTTAGGGGTTCAGCCAGATTTCCCACAGAGTCATGACAGAATGCAGACCAAATGAAGTGGGACCTTTTGTTTAAGGATTTCCCACAGAGTCATGACAGAATGCAGTTGCTCAGTGGAAGAGCACATGTGTTAAATGTGGAAATATGTATGTTTCATATACTATAGGTACATCTCTTTATAGCGCTGGGAAAGATTTCAGTCTGGAACCCTGGAGACCAGCTGTCAATTCTGCTATTACTTTCAATGGAGAATCTAAGAGAACTTGTACAATGCTAGAAATTCTAAGTATGCCCAGGATCGTGATATGCAAAACCTGGCTTTTCTATCATTTGAGGCCTTTGAGGAGATCATGTAGGATGGAAAACCCTTAACACTTCCAGCCATTGTGATATCAACAATACCGGCATTTACCTCCTGAGATGGCTACTCCACTCTGAATTCTATTTATATAATCCTGAACATACCATCATTTGGTTTATTTAATTTTTAAAATTTAAAATATTTTCACAACATTAAAAGACAGTATATAAAGCTAACAACGGTGAATATACAATACTGAAAGGATCGAACACATACTACACTAAAAAACAGTAAACAAAAACAATGCCAAAACACACATAAAGCAGTAAAGTACAACAATCCATTAAAACACAAACATTCAGGCAACCAGTCACTGAGGGAAGGCTTGCCTGAAGAGAAAGGTCTTCATCTGCTTGTAGAAGGAAAGCAAAGATGGGGCCAGCCTAGCTTCCTGTGGGAGAGAGTTCCAAAGTCTGGGAGCAACAACAGAGAAGGCCCTCTCCCATGTCCCCACCAAATGTGCCTGTGAAAGTGGTGGGATCAAGAAAAGGTGTCTCTTGATGATCACACTTAAGCAGTCTCATAAAGGGAGATGCAGTCCTTGATAGCTTGGACCTTGAGATAGCTTTATTGCTACGAGCCAATCTGACTCTTTTTTCAGAAGTAACCATTTGCCCTGCTCACAATTCTGGTAGACACATTCAAATTCTGGCCCCTAACAGTATCTGTCTAGCAGTTTTTAATTCCAAAAAGTTCATTATTAATCAAGATGCACTGGATTTAAAAGGCCAGCTGTAAGTTCAATCATTACCAGCAGATGGCAGAATCTTGTATAGCCCATCCATATGTCCACAGCTAGAGAGTACTACCCAAAACAGGACTACTGCAGTGTTTCCTTACTTGAGACCTTCAGTCTGCAGTGGCTTCATATGTCCACAGCTAGAGAATGAGGGTACTACCCAAAACAGGATTACTGCAGTGTTTTCTTACTTGAGACCTTCAGTCTGCAGTGGCTTTAAAATCCACTGGCAGAATCTTTTCATCAGTGTTGACAATCCTGAGCAGAAATGAGCAGACCTTCCTTAGCTCATCCACCTTGATGTTAATGTGTTGTGACTTTTGCTGTATATCTTCCAGTGGGTGCTGGAAGAAGGAGGAACTTCTGTATCTCTGAAAATGAATGTTTATTTGCCCAAGCACTCTCAGGCTATTGCATAGGAGGCCCTTTTCCCACAGTGTGTTCCCAAGAAGCTGCTTCAGCGATCCTTGAGACTTTTCAAGTTTTCAGCAGTTTTCAGCAGGGATGATGGACTGCAGTGAGAAGGCAAGGCTTCAGAAATGCTGAGATCTGCAGAGGTGGTTATCCCTGGGAGCTCTGCCTGCAGTTCTGTTGCTCCTACTCAAGCAGTCTGGGCTATAGCTCAGCAAAGTTATTCTCTTTGGATGATGGATCCTAAAGTCCCCTCAAAAGCAAGGACATTAGCCATAGTATCTGGGGCATTCTGGAAAATGATTATCTCAAAACAACAACAACAAACTTGTATTCGTGAAGGCTTTCACGGCCGGGATCTAATGGTTGTTGTGGGCTTTTCGGGCTCTTTGGATGTGTTCTGAAGGTTGTTCTTTCTAACGTTTCGCCAGTCTCTGTGGCCGGCATCTTCAGAGAACAGCACTCTGTGCTCTGGGTGCTGTCCTCTGAAGATGCTGGCCACAGAGACTGGCGAAACATTAGGAAGAACAACCTTCAGAACACTGCCAAAGAGCCCAAAAAAACCCACGACAACCAACAACAAACTTCTTAAGGGTTATTTTATCCAGGTTCTAAGTTCTGTTGAATTTCTCTCCTTCAAGTCCTGTAGCTCCCTTTTAGTAGTTTCGTTACACCAAAATGCAGACATTTCTGACCTGGGAGAACGTTTGCCTTTTATTTGATTTGAAGCAGTTTGTACATCAATCAAGCACTTTAGAACCTAAGTGGGCACCGTGCCACAAACAGATCTCTCCGTTGCCTGTTGGGCTGCAGCTTCCCAATAACTAAGTTTTTTGTGCATCATAGAAAAATGTTTCCACATCATATAATAAGAAGGGAGGACTTAAAGAGGGCAGTGGCTGGTAGCCATTTGGATACATAGCCAGCCAGCTAGCCAGATTACGTTTCTGGCCTGTCTGAAACTGCAGTCCTAACTGTACAAAACAGTTCACTGAAAAGCTTGGAAATGCTTTTTGGGCTACAACATCCAGCATCTCCCAGTCTCCAAGTTCAATATACTACTATTAGTATTATTCTAAATTATTTTTGTTTTGGTTGCTATTGTTAATCTTTGTCAAGTACAAGAGGACAGAGTGGGTCCTAACAAGTTTAGCATCTATTTCATTAACAAACTCACTTCTAGTTTTACACTCTGTGTTTAGGGTTTTTCATCTTCACTCCAAAATGTTTCATGCTCCAAAATGCCAGAGAATTATAGTTGTTAACTGCCATGCTCATAAGTCAGATGCAACTTGAACAGAGGTTATATAACCATGCCAAGATTCTCTGCTGAGTCTTCTCTTTTAAGGAGAAGGGGGTCATTAAGACTAGGGTACAAAGCCATCAACTAAGTTTGGTCATCTGGAACTGCTAATACTAGCATGTCTATATATAGAGATAGACACAAAAAATGTTTCATGATACATCATCAATAACCAGTCAAAGGAAAGTTAATCTGTAATTTGACCCGCAGACTCAAGAGCTCCTCTTTGACCCATATTCAGAAATAAAAGAGTCTGTTTACATTCTTATCTTGTTAGTGCAGCCTGTAATATTTAGAAGTTGATATAGAGCCATATTACCCACAGGGTAAAGTGTGGAGTGTGGTTCATTCCATAGTCATGTAATTGACCAGTAAGTAAGTGGTGGCACAGGTTTCATTTCATCCTTACAAGTGTGATGTTCCTCGGCTTCTAAAGTGCCATCAATGTCATTATAGGGAGAATGATGCAGCTGCCTCAGGGAGCAATTTTTAACTCTGAGAAAAAGGATTCATACCTATCATTATTCAAATTCACTGTACCTGCCTGTAATGGTCAGGAAGGTGATACATGAGATTTTTCTTTCTCAGGTGCTGCAATAATTTCACTAGCCAAGGGCATCTTGATTTTGAGAGCTGAGGGTATCCTTTGCTGCTCTTTCTTAGCCACCAATATATGATGGCCCAGCCTTGTCATTGGTTTAGAGCGTTCTAGGTCAAAGTGACGTATCATCAGAATGTTGATAGCCAGCCCAAGACATTGGGCTGAGTCAATGATGGCAGGCCCACCATTCCATGTACAGAAGCCAATTGAATGGGCAGCTTCTACTTACTTTGACTCTGTCAATAGGATAGCGTCCTCCACAACACTTAAAGGCACCAGACTAGTTTTGGGGTTCAGGGGAGTTTCAGTGCCCATCCACACATCCTCTTTGCTCCTGTTAAAGAGTGGTTCTATTGCCCATTGATTTGGATTAGTGTAGCAAATCTACGGTACATTACATTCCTGGATATTTGATTTGATCCCTTCCCTTTTACTTCAACCATCTATTAGCCCGGTTCCCATGAGGTACGTGCAACTCAGACTCCCCTGAGAGCTGTGATGTCATCTGTGGGAGTGCCTTACCTTTACTTTCCCCTGTGGGAGAGAAAGAGGCAAGGGGTGGAATCAGGGTGGATAATGGGAAAGGGCATGAGATAGAAGGAGAGGAGAATGGTGGGAGGAGGAAGAGAGGGGATGGCCTATGGTGCGGAAATTGACATTGGAAGAATGTGAATTACTTTTAGGAGATATTGAAACAGGTATGGAACCTTGGAATGAAAGATTCCAGATCTACGAGGAAAAGGGACCACTCTTTCAATTTACCTCATTCTGAGCCACACATCTCCCTTATCACTGTGTAGGCTGATTCAGGATGAAGGGGACTGCAGTCCAATACAATTTGGATGGCCATACTTTGTCTATCTCAACTTAAAAATAGACCAATACTCCTCATGTCATATACTCCAGTACATCAGATGCCGCTTCCAAAGAGAACAGTGTGTTTGTAGAGGGAACAAGGAGATAAGTGAACCTTTGAGCAAGATTTTCAAATACTAACATATGCAAAATAAAGGTAGTGGAACAGCACATGGCTGCAATAGTAACAAAATATTACAGGCAGGAAGAAAACAGAATCCGTTCATTTAAAAAACATCTAGACCACCTTCAAATGTCAAATGACCAGGTGGGCATACAATAAAGTTTATAAAACCCAGTGATGAATAAAATCACAATTGAAAGAAAATGAGGAACAATTCCAGGCAGCAGTACAACAGCGGCAACATATGAGAATGCTTGGGAGAATAAAGGCTTATGGTACTGAGAGAAAAACTTGATGAAAACCTTCTGTGAATGAAAATCCATGACCAAAAGGGTCCTCTCCCTGGTCATCAACAACTTAATGTCTGGGTCTGCTGGGATTTA